ATTCGAACCCGGTTCACCTCATAGGAAGGCGAACGCTCTATTCCCTGAGCCATCACAGCCCATTACCGGGTTAATGGGAATAATAACAAGAATACGTGCGCTATTAATTCTTTACACTGATATTTTTAACACTTTATTTAAATTCTTGCAGCCCGCCTACCTCTTTACCGATGTGATGTTGCACTGATGTTACTTAATTATATATTTGTCTTCTTGCTTTTTATTAAATCTTTGATAGAAAAAAATATGAGCTCATGGTATTCGAATAATCAGTGGCATGATCTGCATTGACTATAACCGTGTATTAATAATAAAAATCAGCTAAATGGAAATAAAAATAAGGCAAGAATGCGTGTGCTGTTAATTCTCTACACTAATGTTTTTGACACTCTCTTGGTATTTCCGGCAAAATTAAATTCCTAGTGCACTTTAGCATCCAAATAGAGTCTCGGTGCTGCCATCTAGTGTGGCAGAAACTAGACGTCCAAATTAACATTACCAACGGTATCTCACCCATTGTGGTAGTCCTGAAAGAGTGGATACCACCTCTGGAGAACGCACTAGGTCTGCTCATCGGCAAGTCCGATTGTGCAGCTCATTGGAAATAAAATTTACAAAAATATTTTTAACACTTTATTTAAATTACCGTTGCACAGCACTGATGTTTTCCCAACATAAATTAGCTGCTGTTATAATAATATCCAAATAATCTTGAGAAAGTTAAATTTGTGTTCATTTTTTAGAAGAAAATATTTAATAATTTAAGATAATTTCAATCTATTTTGATATCAACTTAATAGCATTAAAAAAAGAATCTTATAACTTTTAATTTAAACTTTAAACTTACAAACCAGTTATGATTATCTGAAGACACTGCCTAAAATGTGACAGACTTTTTTACCCGATTCGGGATAGCTTTCGATTACCACCTCAAATAATGAACGCACCCAACATTTCTAAACCGTTTTATTGTATGTATCTTCTCAACAGTTTATTACGGTTCCTATTTCCTTCTAGTTCAAGACTTGTCCTATCGTCTTGCCCATTTATATTTCCTTTTCCACAATTGGGACAGTCTTCTATGGAAGATGTTTTCTACACTAGGGAGCGCTGCAAGCTCTTGACTGCCTATACTTCCTTGTTACAGTTTTTAGAGTGTTTTGAAGCCATTTGGATCACAACTTGATCGCTGTGTTTTGAAGCAGTATTTCTTTCATGCGTGTATTTGTTACCTGATTTATTATTTGTGCTTAAAAGAAGAATCATTATAATAATCGCCATTTGAAGACCTGTCATTTCAAGAAGTAAGAATTGACAGTTGAAAATATAATCGCTGTAATTATAAAGGCTTAAGTTGAGTTACTTACTATTAACTTGAAATGACTGTTTTTTAAACTTCTAAGGTAATACTATGTCATTTTCCTGGCATTCAAGATTTGGTGAATTTCTATCTCATTTTTTTTCTCGAGCAAGTATCAATAAACTACACTGCTGTCTGTAAGATATTAATAAGTGTAGCTAAAGAAGTATACAAAAAACATTTTAGATTATTTTGAAGACTTTAAATTTGAAGAAATTTTTTGGTCCGAATTGTCATGTTTCGTGAGAATCACCCTTAGACATTTTTAACACATTTTAGTCTATATCTTCTAGTATGGAATAATCTACTTGATCTTTTTTGTGCATCCTTTACCATAATGTCGCCAACACCGATTATAAATTTAAAGTGTTTGAAATGAGAGCCATAAGCGGGCTTAGGAACCGACCTCTAGAATCAGATTCAGTAATTTTTTTCATCCAATCTACTATTTAGGCAATACAAATGCTATAAAACTAGTTTTAATTTAAAGCAATTGAGAATATTTTCTTAAAATTCTTTTTTTTCTACCCAATAATACCAGGTTTTTCCCTATGATTGCTGAGAAACAGATTTGTGTAAACTGAAATTTCTCCTAAATAAAGTGTTTCCTTGATAGCATGATAATTAGTGTATTTATGAATGTGGTACCGTGCTTTTATTTAAGTCGCACAATGGGCTATTGGCGATGGCCAGGGAAAGATCTCTAAGGACACTCCAGCGACAACATACATACCTCACATCCCATTTCACAAGGAGTACACATTCACACACCATCCATCTACAGATCGTAATTTTGACCTACACCAGAGCACGATCAGTTTTCGATCCAGTGCCCACAAAGGTTGTGATTTGTTATGGAAAATTAGAAGACTTTGTGACCTCGACAGATGTAGCTTGCACCAGAAACCCTTCGGTCGGTGGAGATAGGGTCAAAAGCTCTACCAGCTATACCGTTCCCCTTTACGAATGCATACCCTCATTACAATTTCTGTCTCATCTATTGATAATGTGTATTTCTGTTTCTGTCTGGAAGGATTTATTGTTCCTGATTACACTTCGGTGGCCCGACGACCTGTTTACAGTGGAACAGTTTAACATGTACCAATGCCTAACACCCTCGGTCCCTTCGCAAAATGATAAAAATGATCATCCAAAAGCACACTATCCGCAACCAGTGATGCTTGACTTCGGTGTTCTATTGGAAACAGTGTCCTAACAATTCGTCCACTACGGAACTTGAGTGGATAGAAATTCCTCTAAATAATAAAAAGTGCTTCCTTATCCGGGTAATTTGAATGTAATTATGAATTCATGTTCTCATTAAATATAATTTTAAGTTAGAAAAGTATTTCTTTCATAAAAATAAATTTTATTTATTGAAATGAGAACTAATTTGTTTCTGTTTTTGTTTATAGAATGTTGAGCTCTTCAGCACCATTGGTGGCTTCTTAGGTTGCTGGCTCGGGATATCTACATACACGTCATTTGGCTTTCTGCTCACCTTGCCGCATTTGATACTCATTAAACTGAAGAAATGATTTACTAAATTTGCTGTTTTACACGATGACAAGTAGTCACACCTTTTATAAATTCACACCCTTAATCAAAACACTTAAAAAAAAACATACACAAATAAAGTATATCTAAGCATTGAACTATTGCAATTATATTTATTTAAATAATAACTTAATATGAGACTGAGATTATGAGAACAATGCATAGTTTCTCGTTTTAACTATCACTTAAATGTGTTAAATGTTTAAAGTCATACGAAAATGATATATTAAAATATGTATAGTGGGCAAAAAAAAACAGAACACCCTGAATAACTTTTGATCTAATTTACGTTCTAGGACTCAAACTTAATAGCGTGAGGGGGTGACCTCAAATATGCTAATCAATAAGTGTAGACGATATTTTAAGCAACAAAATCAGACACAAAAATGTACTTTATCTGAATAAACATATTTTTTTCGAAGCATATTTGACCCCCCAAAGTATAGGGGTTGGTTACAATATGGCAAATGGGTCACAATAGTTTGATTAGGAGAGCCCTCCAAAGTTTCGACCCCTTAATCTTAATTTTACTTTTTGTGTATTTCGCTATATCTCGAAAATTTTTAAGCGAATTAAAAAATGTTTATACACAATTATGAAATTCGCTTATCCAAAATTCCATGCAAAAATTTACTTTTTGTAAATATTTATTATTTTTTGTAATTTAAGTTAATAATGGTGAAAAAAAAATTGAATTGTAAGGTATACAATTTTTGCACCATTTCAAAGCATTATGTGGTAAAATACAAAATTTGAGACAAATTGGTTTAATAGTTCATGAGCAATCAAAATTTGGGTATCTGACTTTCCTGAAATTCCTTCTCTCAGGAACTATTCGACCGACTTTTGCTCAAATTTTGCATTTTTCTATACAAAATTACCTTCCTCAAAATACATCAAAAAATTGCATACCTAACAATTTTAAATCTCTTTAATTATTCTTAAATAAAATGATGAAAAATAATGAATATGTACTAAACCTTTTTTGCGTGAAATTATCAATGGATAAACGAATTTTATAATTGCGCATAAAGAATTTTCAATTTACTTTAAAAATTTTCGAGATATAGCGAAGTACGCAAAATGTAAAATTAACATTAAGGGGTCCAAACTTTGGAGCACTCACCTGACCAAACTATGGGATAAATATTTCCCAAATTGCTGTTACCCCCTATATTTTGCGGGTAAGAAATTCAAATCCCTAGAAAAAAAAAGGTACGTTCATACACAGAAAGTACGTTTTTGTGTTTCATCTCTTTACTTAAAATATCGCCTGCACTTTTAGCATGCTTGAAATCACCCTCTCGTATCATTAAGAGAAGAGTTCTAGAACTTCAATATCTATTCATTATATCAAACGTTACTGAGGGTAGTTCGTTTTTTTTTCTTTTTATTTATTTAATTATTTGATGCACAGTACAGATACCGAGCTTCTACGAGATATGATGCATCTAATATAGTAAAAAACGCGTTTCAGTATAAGACCGATATAAGGTTACTAATCGGTTACTATACTAAGGTTACTATACTAAGGTTATGTTGCTGAATTTCGAACTGAGAAAGTGCACATAATATAATTAAAATCGCGTTGCAATGCAGGATCCTTAAAGAGATGGTGGAATTTAGGGGTCCCGTATTAGTAAAAATAGATACAAAATATAAAATTGATATCACAGACTGACCCATCAAAACATAAACTTAAAATAAGTTATGATATTTTTAGTATGATTTTAAGGCTGGTTTACGTTAGTGGAACTAGATTTTTGAGCATTTCGTTTTTCAAAACTTTTATAAAAAGTTTGAAACAAAAAAAAGTTAAACTTATTGATTTATATCTTGAACTTCATTAATAAACAAAATGTATCATTAATTTCGAAAATAATGCTCTAAATGTTTTAACCATTATTATATATTTTTTTTAAAAATTCCGATGCATATCCCTATAGAAGGAGTAAGCACATACTTGATGAAGCATGTTAGTTTTTTGTATGAACTATATTTTTGTTAATGCTTCCATTTATGAGATATTTTCTGATGTTAAGATCTGTGTGATGGGTAATTGCAAAATAAAAAACCAAAGCAATTACATATTTGAAATTTATTGAAGATTATAGACATTCATTATAAATGTTGAAGAAACATAATAAGGTTGATTAGAATAAATTTGGTGAATTAGAAAATATAATGAGTGTAAAAACATTAAAAGATTAATAAAGACTAAAAAAGAATAATAAAAACTAATCTGGAAACATCTATCTGAAAAATGTCGCTTGAATTCTCTAAAAGGAAAACTTATTTTACACTAGTTGTAGTTACTAGTTATGATATGCTCAATGCAAAAAAATATATAAGTCACTAGCAGCAATATAACTTGGGCCCTCTTTGACCCTATATTCACGAATCTTTTCCGATTTTGGCCCTATATAGAATTGTTCGATTTACTCGATATTTCGCAGCCACTTTACAACCAATATCAACACTATATAGAATAGTCAGATTCATCCTAAATGACACATTCATATTACTTCGTTGAAATCGTTCTAAGTGTCTCAATTTCTATGCAGTCAATATAAAAGATAAGTGGATTTTTTTTCTATGCATTCATGTTAATACAATAGAATGAATCAAAACTTTGTTTCAGTTTACATGCTCGTTCGAATTTTAATTAATTATCAAGGCATTATTAGGTAACCATTTTTTAACAAAGAAATTATATATTTCCGATTATCATACAAATTTTTAGAAAGTAAGTTTAGAATATGAAATAATACTTCCAGTTATGTAATTTTTGATACTTTAGAATATATATAAATATTTAGAATAACTTTAGATGGAAATCTAACAAGGTATCATACAAGTTTTCCTAATGTTCAGAAGCAATTTCATTGAAATCATATGTGTAGTTGAGAAAATTATCGGTTGTTTGGTTTATAGTCAACGAATAGTTTAGAGGTTCATTTGTCCAATCATAATCTTTCGTGAAGTTAAAAGGCTCAGAAGTAGTGTCATTAAATTCATATGAGTAATCGAGCAAATTATCGGTTGTTTGGTTTATAGTCAACGAATAGTTTAGAGGTTCATCTGTCCAATCATATTCATTCGTGAAGTTAAAAGGTTCAGAAAATGTTGTGTTGAAGTCCTCTGAGACGATTTTTCCAGTTGAAATAGTAGAAACATATGTTGAAGAATATTCAGGAATCATTTCTGAAATAAATGGAGAAATTGTGTAAATTTGAAAGTGATGTAAAGTTTCATAAGTTTAAATGTATAATAAACTACATTTTTAAACTCAATGCTATTTAAATTACAACGCCTATTCACGCAAACCCTTAACTGATTTTCCTTCACACCAAAAGATAACGAATTGGCCTTAACCGGCTAACATTAATTTGCGTTTTATTGGTTAACCTATATTTCTTTCTTTTTAACATTAAAACAAAAATAATAACATTGAGAGATCCAAGGTAAGGAGCACTCTCTTGACCTATTCCTAATTTAATAAATATGGAATTGTTATAAATATCTCATTAAATTTTCGAAAAATACTTCATTTCATTTTTTGTTTCTTATAATTCTTTCAACATCATGAAAAAAAATTGCAAAGCCAAACTAAGTTCAGTACAGTGAAAAATTTACCCATTTAATTAAAAAAAATAGAAAAAGAAGAAAGAAAAATGTATTTAGTAAGCTGTACATCATTATCTTCATCAGACTCATCGATGTATATGTTATGATTTCTTGGAATAAGGTTTAATCTTTCTTTATGTAATATGTTAAATATTTTTAAAAGAATTAAAGTTCAAATGATCATTTTTCAGATCCATGTAAAAGTAATCCTTGTAGAAACGGCGAGAGATATAGAATCGGTAAAACTGGTCTGCAATGTGACTGCCTTTTTTGCCCAAAATTGCCAAAATTGCCCAAAATTTGGGCAAATTTTGTGAACAAGATAAATATATGAATTCTTAGTCTTGAAAACAGGATAAAGGTATTATAGTTATTATCAACTTTTTTTTTAAAAAAAAGTTGTCAAGTTTTTACACGTAAAATTAATTAAGTTAGTAAAGTTTTGGTAAAATTTTCCAAATTTGAAATTGGGATCCTATTTCTCAGATTACGACTACCCCACATACTTGGAAATCCAAATCCGTCGAAAAAAAGGTATGTTTATTCAAAGAAAGTGCGTTTTTGTGTCTGATTTCATAGCTTAAAATATCATCTTGGGCAAATTACATGAAGATCCGATCATTAGATCAAAAGTTTTTCTGGGTGGTATGTTTTTTCCCCGCATACTACATACCAAGGATTAGTATCTAAAAATATAAACATATTTATGATTTATATTTGATGTGCCCATAAAAATGATCTTTAAGTCGACGGAAACTGATATTTTGCACAACTTTCAAGTTCATTAACTGCTTTCTCAAAAACTAGACGAGTATGAAATTTCCTGAAATAAAAGCCTCAAGTGTAGCGGAAACAAAATTATTTCAGGGAGCTATATTTATTGTATCAACTTACAATGCGGCTCTAATATTAGAGGCCTGTACATACGGACATTCCTATAGGTATCGACATTTACATAAGTCTTAATGCGAATGTTGTTGTTCATCTCAGAATGTCAACATTCAACATTTCGGACTTTCATGTTTACCTAAAATTTATCAATATTTCATAATTCCACAAACAGACAATTAGCAACAACAATCGAAATCTCTTTTATATCCTTAAACTCAAAAAGACTTCAGTGTAGTTAATGCCGGCAAAATAACTGCATTTATGAGAATTTTTATCGCATTCTTCAAAAATTATGGTTATTATGTAATAATAACCATAACTATTAATAATCACCCGAATTATTACTTGATAAATACATTAGTCCTATATTTACGAACAAAATTATGAAGATTAACCCTTTGGGGACGGGTGATTCAGAAAAGCATTCGTACAAAATCAGAATCAAGTCGTAATTAAATAAAAAACGGTAACTTAAATGTAGTCGTTGCTAATTTGACAGACTTACTTTGCTTTTAATTTAATTATTGTTAGTTTAAACATATATATAATCAATGTTAATTCAAAGTATAACTAAATAGTTTTATTTTGAACAAAGGATTGGTGAATTAAATAAATCAAACAATTATTACTCCGCCCACAAATAAACTGCTAAAGAAATACTTTGATTACCAGTTTTATATTTTTAACCTGATTGATACGGTTTTATGCTGTCACGTATTTGTGACAGTCGGCCCCAAAGGGTTAAAACCTTTTTTCCCCTATCGACTTTTCAGCTATTCTCTACACTGATATTTTCTTTAAAGTTACCCAGTTGTCTATTATGCATAATGCATACCAAATAAATTTTAAGGTATCTCAGAATGTCAAGATTAAATTAATCTAATGATTTACGGCAAATTATTTGATTTTGTCAGGCTTTCGCACATAAGAGGCATTATTTTCAGGGTTCCTATATAACATTATGAAATTCTTTATGATCGGGTGGTTTAAATAAGAGATAAGAGAAAGAACCAGGTAAGTGACATTTTTAGAGGTATATATGAATCAGAGGAAATGACATAAAATGGTTACATCAATATGGTTATGTTTAATGTAGCAGAAAAGCTGTTGCTTTCACTTTAATCTTAACATAACTAATCACTTTAGTTTTAAGTATGCTTCATTATTTTTTAAGAGTTAGGCAGTGATAAATGAATAAAGGCAAGAATTAATATTCCCGCTTTCTAATAAATCTGTGATGAAATCATTCCAATACCACCGATTTTTTTTTATCATGATCGTTGCATCTCTGAAAATGTCACTTATCTCGTTCTTCTACTAAGTTTTTTAATTATAAACCAGATTTTTCACATCCAGAATAATATTTTAAGGAATAAAATTGTCTACCACTAAAAAAAATCGTAAAAATGTTTTGGTATGCACATTTTCAATACCTTTTTCGCAAAACTTTCCATAAAAAGGCATTTTGCAGTAACAATCGAATTCACTTCCTTTCTCTTCACATAAACCATTATTTTTACAAGGATTTGGCATACAAGCACCTGAAAGAAAAATATTACATATCTATAACTACTTCTCTGATTAAATTTCTTGAGTAATGGCATCACCTCCTACATCAAGAAGCCTCCACACGGTTTCTTATAAGTAGTCCGCGCAGACTGTTTAAAAAGTGAAGCAGTTGAGCGCATGATCCCAAAACCTTTTATAAAAGTAATTGAGAGAAATTTGTCATATATATTTGAGAATTGAATCTGTAGTGGTTGACAAGAGAATAAGGCAAAACAATAATATTCGTAAATAAGATAAATTTGTAGTCATATATTTACTACCACTTTCTTATTTTAACTATATTCTGTATTAAATGACTCGTTCGGTAAATAGATATCCTTCAGAGTGGTCTGATCGGACTACCTATAAAAAACCGTGTGAAGGCGTTGGTAATGGCATGTCTTACTGACCCTCATCTTTCAATACGTGTTTTGCAGATTGGCAAACAATAAAAAACGGAAGGTTTCAGAACGTTTGGTTATTCGTATGGTTATTGTTTGGTTTACTCTATATGTACCGTTGATTCTTTTGCATGTAGTGCTTTGGGAAATAATTTGAAATCAAATTTACAAAACAAAGAATCATACAGTAAACAATAACTTAACTACCTCTATAAGAAATTTAGAAAAAGTGCATAAATATGGCAGCCCTTATTTCGCTACAGTGGAATGTGATTACAAAGATGTCAACTATCTCCGCTTAGTAAAAAAATATTTCTAGTGGTAAACTTCAAGTTATTTTTTTTTAGTATTTTTCATATTAAGTTATTTTTCCACGACTATATATCAAAATTTTAAAGAATGAAATAAAATGCAACTTTATTTGCTATAGTGGTAGTAAAATGAAAATTATTATACAATTCTAAGCAAAAATATTTATTATATTTTTAAAGATCAAAAAATTACGCTGGACGTCCCTTAAAAATTTTAAAAGTGGTAGCAAAAGTTAGAAAGTAAAATGTATTTTTATAAATTCGTATTTACCACTTTCATAATGTTTATAATTGAACATATTTAATAGAAGGGTTTAATATTAAATTGGAAGCTAACAAAAAATCTTAACTTTTAATTAAAATTTTGTCCCTACTTTTTAATTTATAAGAACAGTTAGTTTATTGTAGTGGAACTGGGCGTCTGAGGCCTTACCATAGCCTCCAACTGCTACGGAATTTCCGTAGTTTCAGAAATCTTCTTTTCAGACGGTAGCAAAATTAATGTCTTAATATTTAAAAAAAATTAATATTAGCGTAACTTGTCCACTATTACTTATAAAAGTGCAGGCCATATGGCTAGATTCTTAAGTTCTGATAAAAGTTTTATGAGAGATCCATTTGCTTTAAAAATTTCTACTTTGGTTCGCTACCACTAGAAATAATTATTTTCAAAATCCTCATAAGTTGGAGGGTATGCCTTACGGCCCTTTGGTTCGAGACCTGATAACGTGCCCTGCGCTTAAATAAATATAATTCTATTGATATGTAGTGGTGGTTAAAGTCATATGAAATTAAATATTAAAATCAGGGAAAGCATAAACTTTACTACCACTTTAAATATAAATATTTACATTGTAAATTTATAATAGTTACGCAAACTTTGTAAAATAGGAATTGCTCAAAAATGAAGAAGTGCTCCGTCTTCTAAGGGAGATCATCGGGGAATCATCTCAAACGCAGTGAGTTCTATTCTTATTTTCAAAACTCTCAAGTTAAATTCACTGAACTTTTCTCAGCAGACTTTTACTTATGTTACATTAAATTACATCAAATTTTATTTTCTGATAATATAGCCAATTTATGCATATATATTTATCAACTTATGCACGTTAAATTCTTTTGCAAATTCTATTGTATTTAATGAACAATATTTCGCTTATATTTATATATGTCAACAGATGTCAATTTAGATTCGATATTCAAATGTTATATTTACTATATTAATTTATGTCAACCTATGTATATATATTTCAAATTATGTTTATATTTATATATGTCAATATGTGTCAATTTAGATTCTATAGTCAAATGTTATATCTACTATGTTTATCTATGTCAACCTATGTATATATATTTCAAATTATGTTTATATTTATATGCTTATATTTATATGTGTAAATTTAGTTTCGATATTCAAATGTTTATTTACCCAAGCAAAGTGCTTGTAATTTTGTATTAGCAACCACATCGACTGCTAAATTCAAAATGTTATCATTTTAAACTTATGTAAATTTCTAGATGTATGGGATAGGGGCCGCTGCGCGGCCCAGGTGCCCAGTTTTTTATAAATAAAGTAAAGTAAGTAAAACTTTGTAAAATACCACATTGTTACATAATTCAAAATGTTTTATTCACTGTATATAATTTTCATGATGAATGGGGTAGGGGACGCTGCGCGTCCTAGGCACCCAGTTTTGTTTAAAGAAAGAAAGAAAGATCTTTTCCTATCCGATAAAGTTTTGTCCGTAAATGTTTTAAATACTAGTTGTAAATACTTGTATATATTTATGCTCATTTATTATCATGCATTTTTCCTTTTCTCTGAGGCTATGTGGCTACTGTGCACCTGAGAAGCTCGGGGATATTATCTCCACAGGAGGCGATGCAGTTTGCGACAAAGACCTCTTAAATTTGCTTGTTTAATCTCGCTACTTCATTTTAATTTTCACTCAGTAAATGTTACTGAACCCCAACTTTCACCATTCATTTGCGCTTCGTCGATTTATTATTTATTCCCACTCAGATGAATTAGTTAGAGCCCCTGGCGGGGCTGATGCTAAGATAACCACCACATATGAGTATGAGTAAAATTTGTAAGAGTTAAATATTAACACGTTCACGCCGGGGTGACGCACCGGTGGGTCACGCTAGATTGTCTCACCTTGGCAGCTCACCGGAGTAAAAACTGGTAACAAATAAATTTCATTTTTTCCCGTGATGACGCTTATAAAGAGTGGGCGTAATCATCCTTATTTTACAAATTTTACTATTTAATTCGCTACCAATTTATTAAAACTTTTGCAGAAAGCAAAGTAGCTGGCCTCCCTGTTTGGAGGGTATGAATATGGTTTTTTTATTTTTTATTTTTTGTTCGTTTTTACTAAGTCAGAAAAACAAAAGTCGTTAAAAAAAAAAAATTACGCACTTTTCTTTTGGCAGGATGGGTTTCAACTAAATTTGAATACGAAACGAATTTATTAATATTGATTTATAAATTCAGTGCTATTTTGAATATTTTACATGGGATATATAGTGATTCTAAACTTACCAATTTCACAAAAATCTCCTTTAAATGGAGGTTTACAAATGCAATCTATTTCGTCTTCAGCTACGATGCAGGAACCGCCATTTTGACACGGATTCTCCATGCATACATCTGTAGAGTGCAAAATAATATTAAAAGTAATATCTTTAAGTTGAAAAACATTTAAAAAAAATCTTCATGAGAGAAATTGTTCTGAGCAAACTGCCAACGCCATCCAGTGTAAGTAGTTATAACTAGAATGAAGCGAGAGAACAGATCAGTTCATTGTTTGGATTCTTTGTTCATTGTTTGTCTATAGATTGCTGAAATAAAATATGAGCTATCGACATGTGCTACAAGAGAAAAATGCAGAAATAATTCTGTTTAAAATTTATTTAATCTATTTGCACTAATTATTCTTTTGAAAATACTGTTTTTTTTTCGTTCAAAAAAGTAAAAAGTGGCTAAATTAAAAATAAAAATAAAAAGTCTCGGTACCAAATGCTACCAGAATGCCAGTGAATTCTGATCTACTACTGCTGCATAAACGCAATAATGTATCTTTATGAAAAAAATTGTTGTGCCAAGACGAATTTAATATGATCAGGCGTTGTTGCTTTGAAAAATTACCAGACACAAAAGAGAAGCTTTAAAAAATACAATAAAAAAATACAAATTTGTAATCAGTGTCAAATAACACCGACAGAGAGTAGAAAGGTCAACGGACAATTCTAAATAACTTTTGATCTCATTATCGGATCTTCACGTTCTAGAACTCAATTTTCCTGAAATATGATAATTAATTAGTGCAGACGATGCTTTAGGTTATAAATAAAACTGTTTTTTGGATAAAAGTACGATATTTTGAAAATTCAATTTCTCAAAAACTATTCGACCGATTTCACTCAGATTTTGTATTTTGTCATTTAAAATTGCGTTCTTTAAAATGAAGTTTAAAAAATTGCATACCTTAAAATACAAAACTTTCTCAGAAATAAAGAAAATAATAAAAAAATAAATATTTACTAAAACCCTGTAAATGCATGTTATTTGGCCGAGAATTGATTAGCCCAAAGGCAGCTGTGCTACATTGTGGTAAGGCAGCTGTGCTACATTATGGTAAAGCAGCTGTGCTGTGTTATATTTTGCATTGAATTATCTTTGGATGAACGAATTTTATAACTGTGCTTAAAAAAATTTCAATTCGCTCAAAAAGTACTCAAGATATTGTTAAATACGCAAAAAGTAAAATTCACATTAAGCAGTCAACCAAACCAATCTATTGCGACTAAATTATTGGAACCGAATATCTTAAATTGTTAGATTTCCTTGATTTGAGTGTCAGAAATTCTAGTCAATCGGGGGGAAAAAGTATGTTTATTCAAAGAAAGTACGTTTAAGTGTCTGATTTCATAATTTAATATATCGTCTGCATTAATTAAGTCCCTCGAACCTTGAAGTATAAAACGTGAAGATGCGATCATTAGATCTACAGTTATTCAGGGTAGTCTATTTTTATTTTCACACTATACGTCTCGTTTCTCTAATACATCCAAAAGTGAAATAAATTGTGATAGTAGCTAAGTACTTTGCAAATTTCATCTGCTTGACTACCGAAGGATATTAATACATTAGAAAAAATATTTTTTGAAACTACAGAACCTCCGCGGTAGCGAGGTTTTCAGTAGCTGGGTACCTAAACCTAGTTGTATCTGTTGGGCCTGGTTGTATCTGTTAATCTAATAACGGATCTTTGTAAAATTTAAAAGTGGTAGTTAATACTCTTTTACGCTAGAAGGAATCAGGGTAGAAGGCCTATATACAGAGATGCCAACTTGCTCCGCTTTGTAAAATAGAATTTTCTAGTGGTAGCGAAATTGAAGTTACTTTTAGTTTGGTATTTTTCCTTTTAAGTAATTTTTTCACCACTAACTATCAAAAATTATAAATATCATATAAAATCCAACGTTAAAGCAACAATATACTGGTTACTCTATTAAGAAGTGGACGTAACTGTCCTTCTGTAACGAATTTTACTGTATAATTTGCTACCACTTTTATTAAAACTATTCCAGAAAGCGGAGCAGTTGGCTTCCCTGTATAAATACCAAGACGGAAAAAACTAAAAACGGCGTTTCCTTCTAGCATTTTCCTTTTTTTCAAAAACATTAAATTTTTACAACTACCGAGATATTTTTTACAATTATAGCATATATAAAACTGCTTCTTTCTTGAAAGGTAGATAATAGCCCCGTTTACATGCACAAAAATGCGGGGTAAAAGCTGGAATTTTCGTCATTTTCTACCCTTCTTCCCCTACGCAGGGAAAAATTGAAGGACTGAAAGAAGGGTATAATAATTCCTAGTAGGAGATGGAAATATGCAGGGTAAGCTCACCTCGCTTTCCCGAGATGCATTGCGAGTCACGTGATTGTTTACGTTCTGGGCCCATGTGTTTTGTTTTGGAACTCGGAACGTGAAAATATTTTAATTTGTTTCAAATAATGGCGGGAAAAAAAGAAAAGAAGCCAGCTGATCGCCAGCTGATATATTTTCTTACTTCCGATTTATCATGTGACCAATGACGTAGAGGAAGTTGTTTGAAAATCCGGGGTTGAAATTCTTTTGCGTGTAAACGGGTTTTCTTACCGATTATACATTGCCCTGTAAAATCCCTGTACCCTTCTTTTACCCCGGATTAATAGATTGCTCATGTAAACGGGGCCAATGTTGATTAACTTGAAGAAGAGAATAGAACTGAAAGGGTTTTACATTCACCCTTGGAAGGAATTTTCTTCCATGTCATACGACTTCGTTTTTAAGACAATCTTTTTATACACTTCACAGATTTAACTAAAGTGGTTAACTCAAGTTCATGCACCATTACGGTTTTCCAACGTTTTGTTACAGCAGTTTAAAACTCGTAAGAGAACTGAGTCTTGTTAGATAACAATAGGTTCAGATACCTATTGCATACCTGCCAACTTTTAATCCCTTCCATTATTATTTTTCCCAGTGGTATTAAAATGGAATTAAAACTTCAATTTTAAGCAAACAAATACGTTGTATTTGAAAAAACTGACAGTAACGCATATTAATATATGTGCTTAATTTTTGTAAGAATAGTGGTGATCAATATCATTTAAAAATTAGGATTATAAAAGAAAAAATAGTTTATAATTACTACCACTTTAAATATGAAAATAAAATCTTCGGGAAAAGCCGGAAGAGTTGGCAGGTATGCTATTGTGATCAGATTTTCTAGAGGTAACTAATTGTATGCCTTAGTATATTACTATGGTTTTAACAATTTCATTTAAAATCACTGTAACTACCACAGCATAAAAAATTTAAAAAGCATTTACAAGATCCCTCTAAATGTTACCTTATATGCGTAAAAACCTGAAAAAGTTTTTAAAAAAAGTTGGTAAGAACTATAATACCTTTACTCTGTTTTCAACAACTATAAAAAACCCTCAGTGAAAATTATAAATGTTGGCATCAAAGGATTCATATATTTACCTTGTTCACAAAATTTGCCCAAATATGGGTAAGGACAGTCACATTGCAGACCATTTTTATCGACTCTACATTTCCCGCCGTTTTTACAAGGATTACTTTTACATGGATCTGAAAAATAAACATTTGAACTTTAATTTTTTTTTAAATGTATAGCATACTACACAAGGACAGATTCCACCTTAATCCAAGAAACCATTACATATACATCTGTGAGTCTGATGAGGAAATTGATATACAGCTTACTAAATACATTTTTCATTTTCTTCTATTTTTCTTAATTAAATGGGTAAATTTCTCACTATATTGGACTTAGTTTGGCTTTGCAAAATTTTTTTCATGATGTTGAAAGAATCATAAGAAACAAAAGATGAAATGAAGTAATTTTCAAAAAATAAATGAAATATTTATAATAATTCCATATTTATTAAAGACTAATATTAATAGAATGCGCATAGGGTGCATTGTCAAGTGGCAATAACGTGGTAAGTGGCCGACAATTTTTTAAAAGCCATCGATTGTATTTAATCACCCTTTAGCCTGTGGTGACCATTAGTTATGTCCTATATTTAGTGCAAAATGCATTGTTTTTTTTTTGTTTATCAAATGTATTGTTTGTTTATCAAATGTATATTATTACAATATGATGTATTACGAATATACAAATATAAAAACTATAAATAAAAAGAATTATTAATTACCTTCACAACGGTTGTCAGCACCCTTTTTTGAGCCTTCAGGGCAAATGCAATTTACATATGTTTTAAACCAACCTTTCTGAAAAGTGCAATTGGCTCCTGGACCACAAAGGCAAGCTAGACAAATATAAAATAATAATATTTAATTTTATAAAATTCTTGTTTAATTATATATTGCCAAATTAATTTCCTCTGTGTTTAAAATAATCTCAAAAAATTTTTATTCGTAAGAAAATATATCAAAAAATTAGTTATAACACGTCTCCACACTAGCTATCACAACATGAACTAGTGTGGCCAAGAGCATTTAAAAAAAAATATGCAGTATATGCACAATTTAGCTTGTGCATGAAAAATATGAAAATAAAAGTTAGAAAAATGAAGATGAGAGTGAAAATTTTAATGATGTGAGGAAAAATAGCAATTGAACAAAAGAATTCATTTAGTATTTCGTAGAAAGGTGTGAAACTGTTCAAATTTAATAATACATTAAGTATATATTAAATTTAGCTTGTTTATGAAGAATATTAAAATCAACAAGAGAAAAATGAAGATGAAAGTTCAAATTTTAATAAATCAGGGAAAAATAATTTTCTAGCACAAAAACTCTTTTAGGATTTTGTGGAAAAATGTAACTGGTTTAATTTAATAGTATAGTAAATTTGCATTCAACTTTGCTTGCTCATGAAGAATTTGAAAATAAACGTTAGAAAAATGAAGATGAGCGTTCAAATTATATAATAAAATAATGAAAAATAATCTTCTACAAAAAGAATTCATTTGGTGTTTCGAAGAAAAGAGAAACTGTTTAATTTAAGAATATATCAGGTATTAATTCAATTTTTAGCTTGTGTATGAAAATAAACGTTATAAAAATGAAGATAAACGTTCAAATAATAATTAAATAGTAATTTCTTTAACAACATCAATTTCAATAAAATAGTGAAAAGCAACCTTCTAACAAAAAAATTTCCGTTACTATTTTATAGAAAAATGTAACTCTTTTAATTTAATAAAATCTTAAGTATACATTAAATTTAGATTGCGCATGAAGAATATCAAAGTAAACGTTAGCAATATGTAGATAAGCGTTCAAATTTTAATAAAATAATGAAAAATTATCTTCTAACAGAGAAATTCGTTTAGTGTTTTGTAGAAAGGTGTAACTGCCTTAATTTAATATTAAATCTTCATTTTTCTCTTCTTTTTAAAAAATGTAAGAATGTATTATTGTATACCTTTACAACGATATGAATCATAAAGTCCATATTCTGGTAAGCAGACACATTTCAATTCCCCAGAAGAATCTCTCAAACATTCTCCATTTTCGCACATGCAATCTGGAATATTGAATAAAAAATTTATAAAAATGAACAAATGTTTAGCGAGGGTGTAGTCGGACAGGTATCAATCCGTTCCAATAATTCTTTGTGAGGACCCTAGAAGCGAAATAACTTGGGCCATCATTGGAACAATATTCACGAATCTTGGCTTTATGAGAGCCGATATTTTCCGATATGGGCCCTACATAAAATTGTCCGATCCACCTGATATTTTACAGTCACTTCACAACCTATATCGGCCCCATATGAAATTGCCAGGTACACTCGATATTTTATTACCATTATTCAGCCAATATGAGCAATAATTTTGTATTGACATTATATGAAAAACAACCTAATAACCCTTTGATGCAGATGGAACACAATTTTATATATATTGATGCTCTAGTTACAAGCAAAAATATATTTTGGTATTTTTTAATTATACGATACTATCTAATAGTTATTCACAAAAAAAAATCTGTTCGATTATCAGAACTTGTTACTAAAATATAAAATCCAAAAAAAGTAATTCGAAAAAAAAATTTATGTTTTTATGTTAATGATTTGTTTAATGTTTTTAAACTGTAACGCAGGTCCTCAATTTTTCTTCAATTACACTGAATTCAAATACGCTCGATTTACACGCAGCTAAATTTATAGCGTGTTGAACAATAACATAGCAGCAACCTTTCTAAGGTAGCAAGTTATGTTCAATTATTAAGTAAAAAATCCTCTTTAACCTTGATAACGTTATACAGTGTATTAATCCCTTGACGAAGTTGGAACACCATTCTTCCTTTTCCATATTTTCTTCCTATTCTCAAATTACAAGTAAAAATATATTTCGGTATTTTTAATAATTAAAAACGATCTAATAGATACTCAAGAAATATGTTAAATTATCGGAATTATATTTGTACTAAAATATAAAATCCGAAAAAAAAACTTGAATTTTTTTTTATTCATATTCAAAAATGTATCAATTTGATTTTGTAAATTAAGGAAATTTCAATGATGAATAATTGTTTCTTTTGTATCTAAATAACTGCAAATTTGAAAAATTATCGCTTGGAAGTGAGCCGTTCTCGGATTACGTTGAACACAAAAAAAGACACTCGATGTTTCATGCTTTTATAACCATAAATTATTAAAATTCTATGCCTAATATTTTTCACTTATTTTCAGCGAAATTAATACAAAACAATGAAAAATGTATACTAAATATGTATAACAAGTTTTCTGCGTCAAAGGGTTTAAGAAGGGTTCTAACTTGGTCTTTTTGTTCTAATCATTAGAATTAAATTCTTTCCTTCAGTCAATTAAAATATATAATTTACAATATCAACTATACATTTTTTAACCATTATTACCTCTAGCTTCCATTTACAAAATAAATTGGACAAAAAAAAGACTGTCTTAATGTCTAAGATTTGTCCAGCGGTGGACTGCTTCACGCTTCTCAACAGATCATCGAAGTCAAGCATTACTGGCTTACCAGTCAGAGCGAGGGTTTGTGAGCACTTTGATCAGTCTGAGATGGGACCGATCGTTTGTGGTAATGGTGCTTGTTGTACTGTAAAGTACTCGACATCACACTCTGGCCGCCAGGCTCCCGAAACGGGGATACCATCCCTCTGCAGAGGATCAAAATTGTGATGGCAAGTTGTCGGATCATCCTCAGGGATGCTTCCCAGACCGTCGCTAATAGCCGTGCAGCTCTAATGAGACGTAACTAAATTGCAACTGCAACAATGACTCGTATTTATAAATTTGATTTATAAACAGTTTAGTTCAGTATGAATGCTTACAAATTTATACAGAAATACATCAGTACTCAAAGTATACTTACGGGCATTTTCTGGAGCTTTTGCAGGAGGGTAACTGTCAAATTTTTTCAGGGTATTTTCATACTGTAACTCTTCAACGTGTAATCGGCGTGCAACATCATCCTCAAAACCGTATGAAAGAGAAACACTAAGCACACAAATCAAAAATTTAAGCAACATAATAAACAAATAATCATACAATAGATTAAAAGGTTTAATTAATTTTTTTAAATTTTATATCTGAAATGCTTTCTTATCTAGCCACTGCGATATTATCCTCATAAGGGTATTCAATGTCACGTATATAAGAAATTCAGAAGTGTTGTTCTTAGATTTCATTCCCCTATAAGTTATCAACGAAACAGATAACAGCTTATTATCTGTAATTTTGAATACTTTTCAACATCAAGTGTATTGTTTGAAGATTTTAACTTTTATCTCATCTATTTTAAGTTACTCAAAAAACATTTTAGTTTCTTTATCTTCAAGATGAATGCAGTTTGTGCGTATTTCTATTAAAAGGATAATAAATATAAATTATTATTATTAAATGTTAACTAAAATATCAATTTTAGACATATAATCCAAATTCTAAAAAGCATCATTAAAAAAATAAATCTCTACAACTTTAACTTTAACAACGTTAAATACAAACCCTAGAATATTTCAGATGTTGATGAAATATTTAATTGAAAACCAGAAATAGCATGGCTCGAAATTTATATTGTTTGAGATGATGAGACATGTAAATATTCCGATCCGATGTTTACTTTTTGCTCTTATATAACAGCCTTGTTGGGTAAGGAAATATTTCTGGTTGGTACTCTTTCAACAAATATTTTGCCGAAAAATATAGCTAAATACACCCTCAAATTTTGATTATACATACAAATTTACGAAAGTAAGTTGGCTGTTCCTTTTATATTCTTTTAACCATGCTCATTTTTAATCACAAAAAGAAACTCTTCAAACTGTTGTACTATCAGGAAAAGAAAAATAACTGACTAGCTTTATAACTTTAGAGCAATCTGTGTATATATATATATACTTACGGGCATTTTCTGGAGCTTTTGCAGNCCATTTCAAGATATTCCATCAGTACTCCGTCTTCGTTTCAACATATTCCACCATTACTCCGTCTTCGTTTCAACATATCCCACCATTACTCCGTCTTCGTTTTAAGATATCCCACCATTACTCCGTCTCCGTTTCAAAATATCCCACCATTACTCCGTCTGTGTTGCAACATATCCCACCATTACTCCGTCTTCGTCTCAAGATATCCCACCATTACTCCCTCTTCACTTCAAAATATTCCACCATTACTCCGTCCCCGTTTCAAGATATTCCACCATTACTTCCTCTTCATTTCAAAATATTCCACCATTACTCCGTCTCCGTTTCAAGATATTCCACCATTACTCCCTCTTCATTTCAAAATATTCCACCATTACTCCGTCTCCGTTTCAAGATATTCCACCATTACTCCGTCTTCGTTTCAACATATTCCACCATTACTCCGTCTTCGTTTCAACATATCTTACCATTACTCCGTCTTCGTTTCAAGATATCCCACCATTACTTCGTCTCCGTTTCAACATATCCCACCATTACTCCGTCTGCGTTTCAACATATCCCACCATTACTCCGTCTTCGTCTTAAGATATCCCACCATTACACCCTCTTCATTTCAAAATACTCCACCATTACTCCGTCTCCATTTCAAGATATTCCATCAGTACTCCGTCTTCGTTTCAACATATTCCACCATTACTCCGTCTTCGTTTCAACATATCCCACCATTACTCCGTCTTCGTTTTAAGATATCCCACCATTACTCCGTCTCCGTTTCAAAATATCCCACCATTACTCCGTCTGTGTTGCAACATATCCCACCATTACTCCGTCTTCGTCTCAAGATATCCCACCATTACTCCCTCTTCACTTCAAAATATTCCACCATTACTCCGTCCCCGTTTCAAGATATTCCACCATTACTTCCTCTTCATTTCAAAATATTCCACCATTACTCCGTCTCCGTTTCAAGATATTCCACCATTACTCCCTCTTCATTTCAAAATATTCCACCATTACTCCGTCTCCGTTTCAAGATATTCCACCATTACTCCGTCTTCGTTTCAACATATTCCACCATTACTCCGTCTTCGTTTCAACATATCTTACCATTACTCCGTCTTCGTTTCAAGATATCCCACCATTACTTCGTCTCCGTTTCAACATATCCCACCATTACTCCGTCTGCGTTTCAACATATCCCACCATTACTCCGTCTTCGTCTTAAGATATCCCACCATTACACCCTCTTCATTTCAAAATACTCCACCATTACTCCGTCTCCATTTCAAGATATTCCATCAGTACTCCGTCTTCGTTTCAACATATTCCACCATTACTCCGTCTTCGTTTCAACATATCCCACCATTACTCCGTCTTCGTTTTAAGATATCCCACCATTACTCCGTCTCCGTTTCAAAATATCCCACCATTACTCCGTCTGTGTTGCAACATATCCCACCATTACTCCGTCTTCGTCTCAAGATATCCCACCATTACTCCCTCTTCACTTCAAAATATTCCACCATTACTCCGTCCCCGTTTCAAGATATTCCACCATTACTTCCTCTTCATTTCAAAATATTCCACCATTACTCCGTCTCCGTTTCAAGATATTCCACCATTACTCCCTCTTCATTTCAAAATATTCCACCATTACTCCGTCTCCGTTTCAAGATATTCCACCATTACTCCGTCTTCGTTTCAACATATTCCACCATTACTCCGTCTTCGTTTCAACATATCTTACCATTACTCCGTCTTCGTTTCAAGATATCCCACCATTACTTCGTCTCCGTTTCAACATATCCCACCATTACTCCGTCTGCGTTTCAACATATCCCACCATTACTCCGTCTTCGTCTTAAGATATCCCACCATTACACCCTCTTCATTTCAAAATACTCCACCATTACTCCGTCTCCATTTCAAGATATTCCATCAGTACTCCGTCTTCGTTTCAACATATTCCACCATTACTCCGTCTTCGTTTCAACATATCCCACCATTACTCCGTCTTCGTTTTAAGATATCCCACCATTACTCCGTCTCCGTTTCAAAATATCCCACCATTACTCCGTCTGTGTTGCAACATATCCCACCATTACTCCGTCTTCGTCTCAAGATATCCCACCATTACTCCCTCTTCACTTCAAAATATTCCACCATTACTCCGTCCCCGTTTCAAGATATTCCACCATTACTTCCTCTTCATTTCAAAATATTCCACCATTACTCCGTCTCCGTTTCAAGATATTCCACCATTACTCCCTCTTCATTTCAAAATATTCCACCATTACTCCGTCTCCGTTTCAAGATATTCCACCATTACTCCGTCTTCGTTTCAACATATTCCACCATTACTCCGTCTTCGTTTCAACATATCTTACCATTACTCCGTCTTCGTTTCAAGATATCCCACCATTACTTCGTCTCCGTTTCAACATATCCCACCATTACTCCGTCTGCGTTTCAACATATCCCACCATTACTCCGTCTTCGTCTTAAGATATCCCACCATTACACCCTCTTCATTTCAAAATACTCCACCATTACTCCGTCTCCATTTCAAGATATTCCATCAGTACTCCGTCTTCGTTTCAACATATTCCACCATTACTCCGTCTTCGTTTCAACATATCCCACCATTACTCCGTCTTCGTTTTAAGATATCCCACCATTACTCCGTCTCCGTTTCAAAATATCCCACCATTACTCCGTCTGTGTTGCAACATATCCCACCATTACTCCGTCTTCGTCTCAAGATATCCCACCATTACTCCCTCTTCACTTCAAAATATTCCACCATTACTCCGTCCCCGTTTCAAGATATTCCACCATTACTTCCTCTTCATTTCAAAATATTCCACCATTACTCCGTCTCCGTTTCAAGATATTCCACCATTACTCCCTCTTCATTTCAAAATATTCCACCATTACTCCGTCTCCGTTTCAAGATATTCCACCATTACTCCGTCTTCGTTTCAACATATTCCACCATTACTCCGTCTTCGTTTCAACATATCTTACCATTACTCCGTCTTCGTTTCAAGATATCCCACCATTACTTCGTCTCCGTTTCAACATATCCCACCATTACTCCGTCTGCGTTTCAACATATCCCACCATTACTCCGTCTTCGTCTTAAGATATCCCACCATTACACCCTCTTCATTTCAAAATACTCCACCATTACTCCGTCTCCATTTCAAGATATTCCATCAGTACTCCGTCTTCGTTTCAACATATTCCACCATTACTCCGTCTTCGTTTCAACATATCCCACCATTACTCCGTCTTCGTTTTAAGATATCCCACCATTACTCCGTCTCCGTTTCAAAATATCCCACCATTACTCCGTCTGTGTTGCAACATATCCCACCATTACTCCGTCTTCGTCTCAAGATATCCCACCATTACTCCCTCTTCACTTCAAGATATTCCACCATTACTTCCTCTTCATTTCAAAATATTCCACCATTACTCCGTTTCAAGATATTCCACCATTACTCCGTCTGCGTTTCAACATATCCCACCATTACTCCATCTTCGTCTGAAGATATCCCACCATTTCTCCCTCTTCATTTCAAAATATTCCACCATTACTCTGTCTCCGTTTCAAGATATTCCACCATTACTCCGTCTGCGTTTCAACATATCCCACCATTACTCCGTCTTCGTCTCAATATATCCCACCATTACTCCATCTTCGTCTCAAGATATCCCACCATTTCTCCCTCTTCATTTCAAAATATTCCACCATTACTCCCTCTTCATTTCAAAATATTCCACCATTACTCCGTCTCCGTTTTAAGATATTCCACCATTACTCAGTCTTCGTTACTAATCTAGTTACAGAGTCATATAAACATTTTTATACCTACAACAGAACTACTGATTTTATTCTTTAATAAATAAATAATATTTGAAAGCTACCAGGATATATAAATTAATCAAACATCTGCATAGAGAATTGATAAAAGTATAGTGATATTTATAAGTGAAAGAAAAAATAATGAAGCTCACGAAAATAAAAAGGTGAAAAAGTTGAAGCCAGGTGAAAGGGTGAAGTCATGTATTGATGGAATGTATTTATGCAGTTGCCGCAAAAAAAATATTCTACACGACAGTGCAAAAATTGGAAACTATGAGCTATTTTAGAAAAAAAAAACAATCGTACTAAGCACAATCCTCTATTGTTTGTAAACATGTTTGATAAAATCAAGAGCAAATAAAATGGCTGCTATTGCTTTAAAAATGTACT